AGTTCAATGTGAAGGCCCACCTTGATCGTTGCCTTGAACTTCATGAGTCATGCCAGAATCCTTATAATAAATCACACTCTATGCTTAAAAACTAATTCATGTTGGGATTTTTTAACATACAGCAAAAAATTCCTAGTGAGAACTTGATGAGAAATTGAATTCAGATGTGTGAATAAAGTCAGGGATTACTCCAGGTTATTGACTTGAGATACTGGGTAGATGGTAAAGCCATTCACTGAGATATTTAAAGAAGAAAAGATAAAAGGGCTTGTTATGCCAATGAATCTTCTAAGCAGGTTTTATGAAATGTTAATTCTACTAAAAATATGTATATATAAATAAGTACATATATGTATTCCATTTTACAGTAGAATATAGCATTGACGTAAATGAAAATTTATGTAAATTACATTAATAGTTTTAAATTATATTTTTAAATTTCCTAAATAAGAGTTTCACTGTTTAAGACATCATCCATCACTTAATTACGAATTAACAAACTCTAATCTCAAAGAGCTAATCTTATTTCCCTTGAAGTTCAAACATTTAACAATTGAATCACAAAAAAGACACTTTAGAATATCAGAATAACAAAATGGGCATAAATGCTGTCATGGTTTGAATTATGTCCCCCAAAAAATGTGTGTATCAATTTGGCTAGGCCATGATTCCTGGTACTGTGTGATTTTCCTGTACGTTGTAAACTCGCCTCTGTGATGTTAATGAGGGAGGATGGGTGGCAGTCGTGTTAGTAAGGCAGGACCTGATGTACAAGACTGGATTGTGTCCTGAGGTCATCTCTTGAGATATAAAAGACAGAAGTGAGCAGTGAGACAGGGGGACCTCATACCATCAAGAAAGCAGTGCCGGGAGCAGAGCGGGTCCTTTGGACCGGGGTCCCTGCGCCAAGAAGCTCCTAGTCCAGGGGAACACTGATGAGAAGGCCGACAGAGACAGAAAGACTTTCCCTGGAGCTGACGCCCTGAATTTGGACTTTTAGCCTACTTTGACTGTGAGGAAATAAACTTCTCTTCGTTAAAACCATCCACTTGTGGTATTTCTGTTATGGCAGCACTAGATGACTACGACAAGCACTAAATAATTTTTTTTAGTTTTGTTATTTTTAAGTGTTCCGTCATCCAAGACATTAAACAAAACATTAAAGAAAATGATTTTTTTTCTCAAACACTTTTATGCATTTAAGGGTAAAAATTATGCATAAGGTTTTACCTAAAAGATGTAGTTTCTAGCTGGAAACTCCGCCAATTGAATAGGTGGAGAAAATGAGAATAGAAAATTGTCTATCATACTTTATTAGTGCCATGTCAAAATATCTCAGTGACTACTTCAGTTAGCCCCTGTATCACATTCTTCCTTCCGTTTTCACCACTATTGTCCTCAGTGATGTCATTATCGATGCAGAGGACTGATCCAGTATTGGCTCAGTCCCTCAACCTCTTGAGCTCCAGTTGTCTTCTTCTCTGTTCTAATACAGCTCTTCATTAACAGAAGCACACTCTACATCATGCAAACTGAAACCTCAAACTCACATCTCACACTGTTCAGCCAACATTTCTTTGTCTCTTGGTTTTTTTATATTCCTTTAGTGTTGTTTTTTTCTTCTATCCCTATATATAGAACACTGCTGTGATGGTTAAGGCTATGTGTTAACTTGGCTAAGCTATTATTCTGAGTGGTTTGGCAGACACTATGTAATCATCTTCCATTTTGTGATATGATGTGATCAGCAAATCAGTTGAAGGAAGAGTTTCTTTGTGGGTGGGGCCTGTCTCCAGTAGATAAATGGATGCTCTGGAAAAGCTCCCTCTCTCTCGATCCTGCACTTCTCATCATCTGACCTCCAGTTCTTCAGATGTGAGAAGCCCTCAGCTTACCACTTGACCTGCAGATTTTAGACTCATCAGCCCTGTGAGCCAGCAGCCTGCCACTTCACCTGCAGATTTTGGATTTGTTAGCCCCTGCAAGCATGTGAGCCAGCAGAAGCCTTCTGCTTGCTGCCTCACCTACGGTTTTGGAATTTGCCAGCCCCCACAACTGTGAGCCATTTCCTGGAAGTAAATCGCTCTCTATATATTTATATTTGGGCTTCACTGGTTTTCTCCTCTAGAGAACCCAGACTAAGACAACTATGGACCATAATATTAAGTTCCCATTTTAGAATATTTTAATGTGGTAAAAATGCATGTAAAAAACATGCCATCTCAACTGTTTCTACACGCACAATTCAGAAACATTGATTATATTCTTCAAGTTGTGCTACCATTCTTATTAACTTCTTAACATCTGCAAAGAGTATTCCAACTATTCCCTTAGTCTCCAAGAAGTCATTCTCTCTAGCTTATTATCCCACATATCTTAATGTTCTATGTCAGTCTCCATTGGGCTTTCTTCTTCGGCACATTCTCTAAGAGCTGGTTTTCCTTAGGGTTCAGGCCTTGGATGTCTTAGTTTCTCACTCTACAACTTGTACTGACTGATCACACTCATTTGCACGGGTTCAACTACTACGTTTTCTTGATTATTCCCAAATGTATGTATTCAGCTCTGACTGCTTTCCTGAGCTGTTATAGTGGATTGAATGGTGTTCTCAAAAAGATATATCCACCTACTATCCCCTAGAACTTGTAAAAGTAGCCTTATTGGGAAAAAGAATCTTTGCAGATATAATTAAATTAAGAATCTTTAGATGAAATTACCCTGGATTACCTAAATGGGCCCTAAATCCAATGATAAGTGTCCTTATAAGGGACACATGAGGAGTAGACTGAGGCAGAGATGGGAGGAATGCAGACACAAGGAATGCCTAGAGTTACTAGAAGCTGGAAGAGGCAAGTAAAAATTGTTTCCTAAGACCTCAGGAGGGAGCATGGCCCTTCTGACACCTTGATTTTGGACTTCTGGCTTCCAGAACTGTGAGAGAATAAGTTTCTGCTGTTTTAAGTCACCAAGTTTATGGTAGTTTGTTACAGCAGCCATAGAAAATGAATGCAATTGGTTCTGTGTATTAGTGTGTTAAAAATGTGTGCAGGAAAGCTTAACCAAGAATATGTTTATATATTACTGTCTACTAGCTGCCCTTGTTCTCGCTGGCTTGTGTGATAAATGATTTGTCTTTATTGCAATGAAATAAAAATTGTCAAAAAATCTTCTAAATGCCTACTGTATTTATCAGGTTGACCTTTTAATAACAATTGTATCAGGCTGACCTTTTAGCAACAATTTTAAACCCTGTGACCTGACTCATCTTCTGTACAGCTATTCCTTAATATGAGCGAATTTTGGGCAAAAATCTGAACAGTATCTTCAAAACCACATTAAAATTTTGTTGTGAGTTGCTGTTGGTAAAACCGTTATCTTAAATAATATTCTCATAAACTTACCATATTTTTACACAAATATCAGGCTCCTTCTACATTTGTTTGCCAAGCACACTTTCCCCTGTGAGGTATTTTCATAGGCATGCTATGCTAATTTTTTTTTTTTTTAACAGCAACACGTAGGAAAAAAAAAAACTGCCATAGTAGTGCTTACGAAAATATCTCGTGGGGAGAGGTCGTGGTTGGCAAACAAACATAGAAGGTGCCCGTTATTTGTGTAAAAATACAGTAATTTCTACTGATTCTTTTGCTGGCTGCTTTATTTTAAGGTCTTATATTCTAATGGTTATGTTCTCAGTGTTGCTTATAGTTGTTTGTTTAAAATTGGTATCTTAAAATTTATTCTTAAATATTTTCAAAGCTATACAGATCTTTATATTTTTCAATGTATTTATTCTTAAGTGGCTCCAAAGTACAAATATGTTTTTAATATTATATATTTAAACAAACCACGGCTGAGTTGACCAAGTTACATAAATGTGGGAGAAGGGAAATGGCATTTGTTGATTGCCAAGCATGTATCAGTTAGTGGGTGAAGTACTTAATGTAATTTAGCTCATTTAAGTAAGATGGCCTAAGCCCAAGAAATATTGTTGTTGTTGTGTGCAGTCGAGTTGAAAATGCACAGGCAGGAGCATTTTGTAGGGTTTACCCTGTGTCCTGTTATATCTCCTGTGGCCAATATAGTGCATTTATTCTTCACATAACGTAGGATATATATTCTTACAATCCTTATTATTAGATATTTCTATGATTATGTCTGAAATCCTTCATTTACCTACTAGTTTAGGGTAATGCCCCAAATAATTTGGATGGAATCAAAATAAGGTTATTTGGCATCTAACAAAGTACATTCTTCAGACACCCACAGTAGATAGCATTCATAGCATTGCCTAAGTCAATGGCCAACATTTGTAAAATAGTGATTATTACCACAGAAAAAATTGTACATCTCCCAAAGTCTACTTTCTAAGCATTCACTGATTTTTTTAACACACTTTAGGAAGTTTTCATTATTTTCTTCCCCAAATAGTTTCGTCAAGTACAAAGTTAAAAAAAAAAAAAAAGTACGTATTTTAATGTATTTTTCTTGGCAGAGATGAAAAGGGCATTCACCCTACACTAAATTCCAGCCAAGAAAAAAAAATTGCAGTTTAACAGATATCCCATTATTTTTAGGGAATTGTGTGTGGCACATTAGAAGAAATTGTCCTTTTGATTAAAATTTTTCTGAAACAGAGAAATCATTTTTAAGGCTATAGCTTTTCATATTTATATAACCTCCTGATTATCAATTTTAACTGGAATTATTCAAAAAGAAAATTTACTTAATCCAAGAAAGAAATCAGGGTTAGGTCTTTTATTCATTTGTAGTATGTATTTCCTGATTTTCAAGGTGTTTTGTATTCTCACAGCAATTGCCCCTGGGCCTCTGCTCCCTAAGCCAGGCCCCACTGAGGACACTGATTTTCAGAGCATGCACCAGAGGAGGCTATTTAAACTGTTACTCAGTTACTCTACTTGATATGGGGTGGTGAAGGAGGTGCCTTCTCTCAGCCCCAGAAATAAACTCCTGCTGACCCATTAGTCCATAACACTTACTGGAGTACGTTCAGGTTTGCATTAAGTTATCACCTCCATTGACTTCCAAATTATGCAGCTCCATAAACAAAAGACCCGAGGGAAAATATAGAAATTCCATTGGCGATAGGGTCTATTGAATCTGCAACTTAAACTTCAAACAGTTTTAGCTATTATCTCAAAATCATAAACAGCATTTTGTTTTAGAAGCCTTTGATTCTTCTTCATCCTTGTACAAACATTCATCTGTACAAACATTATGTAGCCACATAATATTGAAGACTATCAAATTACATAGATACCATGTCCACCATTCTTAAACACAGATCATTATAGTTTGAACAAGTTTTAAATTGAAAATATAAATGCCGGAAAAGCAAAGAAGTTTAGGATCATTGCCACTTTAAAGATTCGTGTTCATTCAGCTCATTTTTATTGAAAGTACATATATTTTCACCTCTCAAACCCAATGGTAATGACTGCTTACTTTCAGATCTTTTGTTTAAAAATCTTACTGAACTTTAGCCCTTGATCGCTGTCTGCCTTATTTATTTCATCAAATATAAGCCCCATCACATTACGTATCCCAGTCTAAAAGACAAACCAAATCAACTCTCTACAATAAAACAAATTCCCTCTCCAGCTCTTCTCACAGGGATTAATCTACACCAGGAATTCAGGCTTGAAAAATTGGAGCCATACATGGAAGATTTCACTCCATCAGCTTCCTCACTTAATATCCTAGGTCGCCTTTTCTGAACTCCTAAATTACAGAATTTCCATCATAGAAGTTAACATTTAATTATAGACTATTCTGCATTGTTTAGTATTGTTTCATATATGTGTTGTTTCAATTCACTTACAATAAAATTTTATGGCATGGAACGCAAATTTATTCTGTATCTCCCCTAGCATTTAACACCCTGGGTGGTACCAGTGGTTAACACACTCAGCTGCTAACCGAAAGATTGGCCGTTTGAGTCCACCCAGAGGTGACACGGAAGAAATGCCTGGCAATCTACTTTCAACAAATCAGCCACTGAAAATCCTGTGGAACACAGTTCTACTCTGACACAAATGAAATGGGGTCACTCTGAGTCAGAATTAAGTCAATGACAATTGATTTTTAAGTAACTAATGGTGCTGAACTAAGTCTTTTCCACAATTAAGACTGGCCAATTCAGTGTTATCTTCTTCAGGTGTTGTCTTTTAGTCAGACAAGCAAACTTTTAAAAACCGTTTTAGGGGATTTTAACGTATGCTTAAACAATTATTCAAAACTATTTCACGCTTTTAATTGTATCAGTATATCCCTCCTAAACCCTTAACAAAGGAACTCTCCTTTAGTGGGATAGAAACACTTGTATTAAGTCAAAAAAACTGAGGGTAATGAATTTTTGGCTATTATACTTTCATCAAAAAATCTGTGATTGTCTTCATCATGATCATTCCTGAACATTTTACTCTTTCTCATAGAAAATATTGCTTAGATATTGGAAAGAGTGAAAAATAAGAATCAAATTAAGATAGAAGTAATAAAATCTTAACTTTAAAACTGGAAGAGTTCAGATTGCACAGTTACGGACATATAAAACTATATTCAAATACATGCGTGCTCTCCCAAATATTTTATGCAGGTGGATGTGGCACTTGTAGAATTGTAGTGGAAATCGCTCTTCTTGATTAGAAACTGGTTTGTCATATTTCAGTCTAGAAAAGAATAAAAAACAGTTATTATGTAAGTTAAATTCACAGAATCATTAATCTGTAAATTATGAGAAGAACCCAAACATACGAGACCCAAAATGAAACTCTTAATAAAAATACCTATTTTTTTTCAAAAACCATTGTATGCCAGGTATTTTACATAGTTTCCTTGTAATTTTTGTAATTTCCTTTCTACTACAAACAAAGTAGGTAATTGTATTTCATTGTCCTTATTTATTTAAGAGAAAGTTGCAAATTGAAAGTGAGTGAGTAATTTGCTCAAGAGGTAATAAGGAGTCAAGCAGAAAGCTGACCCCTTGTTCTGGGTCCATACAATTTTCTTTACCCCAAGACATTTTACCCTCCAAACTAAATTTTACAGACAAACTTACTCAACTTCACTCATGTAGATTACTTCATTCAGCACTTATCTTCAGAGGGCTTACTATGTGTTACACACTTTTTCCACTAGGGAAAAAAAATAGATGTCTACTCTCCACAGATTATTTAAATAAATGGTTAAAAGTATTTACACATTTTGTGCATTTCTTAAATATTTTCCCACCACTTTTCAGACTTCTCAAAATTAGTCTATGCTTTCTTTCCCAGATAAATGTGCAAAGAAATTTGGGAATTTAAGTAATATCTTAGGAAAACCACAGTAAGGAACAACCCCTCCATCTCTCCACCTCACCTACTCCATTAAAAAGATCACGTTCAGTGTCTTGGGGGGACAACTCAGTCAACTGGCATTAACATAGCTCATAAACATAATGTTCTACATCTAAGTTTGGTGAGTAGTGTCTGAGGTCTTAAAAGCTTAAAGCAGCTATCTAAGATACAACTATTGGTCTCTACTCATATGGAGCAAAAGAGAATGAAGGAAATCAAAGGCTCAAAGAAGAAATTAGTCCAAAGGATCAACAGCCCACACAAACCACGGCCTCTTCTAATCTGAGACCAGGAGAACTAGATGGTGCCCAGCTACCATTACCAACAGTTCTGACCAGGGACACAATAGAAGGTCTTGGATACAATGGGAGAAAAATGTTGAACAAAATTCAAATTCCTAAAAAAGGTCAGACCTACTGGACTGATACAGACTAGAGGAATCCCCGAAACTATTGCCTTAAGATACCCTTTGAACTTGGAACTGAAACTATTTCTGCAGGCCACCTTTCAGTCAAATAATAGATTGGCTTATAAAATAAAAAATATCACCCATAATTAATGTGCTTACTTAAGCAATCAACTATATAAGACCAAACAGTCAACATTTACCAAAAGCAAAGATGAGAAGTCAAGGAGGGGAAGGGAAGCTAAGATCAATGGAAACAGAACAAACAGGATGGAAATAATGAGAATGCTGACAGACTGTGAAAACTGTAACCAATGTCATGGAACAAGCTGTATAAAAATTGTTAAATAGGAACCTAATTTGCTGTGTAAACTTTCACCTAAAACACAATAAAATCTTATTAAGAGAAAAAAAAAAGATCACCTTCAACTGACCCCGAATGAATGTTCTTTAAAATTCAATTAAATATCAGCTATGCATGTATCATGCAGGAAAAAGTGTAGATTGACCAATTCTTGGAATAAAGGCTAACTTCCTCAAAGGGTAGAGAGTCCGGACTGGGAAAAAGAGAAATGTTGATTGTAGTGCAAGAGAAAAACAAAAGAGATCAAGTACATTTGTTGACTTTTCATTACAACTAGTATTCTCCAAACTGAAACATCTAAGGAATCTTGATAGTGGATAAATTGGCTGTGGATTCTACTTTCAGCAAATCTAATAATGAATTAGGGAATGATTATGTTACAAAAGGATGGTTTAAATAGATAGACCTGTTGTACCTAGTGGTTCAATTTATAAAAAGTATTTATATGTAACCATGTAGATATATACTATGGAAGAATGGAAAGAAGGCTGAGTAAAGGTCCCTTAACTCACCCCCCCAAAACAAAAAAACCTAAACCCACTGCCTTCAAGTCGATTCCGACTCATAGTGACCCCATAGGGCAGAGCAGAACTGCCCCATAGGGTTTCCAAGGAGCGCCTGGTGGATCTGCCGACCTTTTGGTTAGCAGCCGAACTCTTAACCATTATGCCTCCTAAAGACTATTTAATTCTGGCTTTGCATCATCTGTGTGACCTCGGTTGTTCAGTTTTCTTATCTGAAAAATCACTTTCAATTCCAAAATGATACATTCTATGCATCTACCAAAGAAAGCAATGTTCATAGGCGTGAAAGCCAGGATTTACACTCCTTGTAGTAATTTGGATTGTTTTTCCTTATCAAGTATCTAAGTAAGTGTGGTGTAAGAATTTTTATGTTAAAATGAATGAAACACTTCAAATTTGACCTTATTTCTTAGAAATGGAGCCCTTATGAACTGGCTGGGGTTTGATAATTTATCAAGCTCTTTAATCCCCTGGAATTAGTTTGAAGCAGTATCTCTAAAGACTTCCGATAAACAAGCTAACAGTCTTAAAGAAGATTTGCATCTTGTGTTCTTGGGTACCACAAAGCTGATCCCTGAACAATAATACAACATTGTGAACACCCCCGGAGCTACATGAAAGCTACAGTGTGCTAAGTTCTTTCAAATACATTCCTAAGATTAACAGTGTAAATTGTATGCAGCTTTCTCAGATCATAAGAATAATCATGGAAATTGTTGTAAATACTTTTAGAATGCCTCCAGTTATATATTACAGTAGTTTTATTTTCAAGTAACTTATAAACCTATGGAATCAACTTCATGCTTGTGATTTTATGCAATGAACTCAATTCAATGCTGTAAAATACTAAACAGTTAAGTTTCCTTTACAAGTGTAAGTGTTACAATAAATATACATAGGGGAGGGGAAAAAAAAGGAAAGGGCAATTAGAGACAGAAGGGCAGTGATGTGTGGTTGAGGATGAGGCAGGGGGGATAAAGAAACAAAACTAGTAGAAAATAACTCAAAAGGAAAAATACCATGACTCCCCAAAATGAGAAGCAGCTAAAAACTGAATAATCACAGCATATTTTACCCCTAAGGGCAGAAGCATCTAGATCTCACATTATCTTAGGGCTTTGTAACCTGGCAGAGATAGAGAAATGAAGCTTGTTCCTTGTTATTGATACTGGAATGATATTTGTAAACGGGAATCCCTGGGAGGTATAAATGATTAACATGCTTGATTGCTAACCGAAATGTTAGTGGTTGGAGTCTATCCAGAGGCACCACAGGAAAAGGTCCAGTGATCTACTTCCGAAAAACCAGCCATTGAAAATCATATGGAGCGCAGTTCTACTCTGACACACAAGGAGTTGCCATGAGTCAGAATTGACTTGACGGCAACTGGTATTTGTAAAAGAAAATTAAAAAGTTTAACTTCACTTTTTGCACAGCAAACTGTGGTAGGTAGATTCTAAGAGGCCCCCACGATTTCCACCCCCTGATGTGCAGACCCTGTATAATCTCCTCTCCTTGAGTGTAGTTGGGACCTGTGAATATGATGGGATGTCACTCCTGTGATTAGATTGTAGTAACAGGCAGATTCTGGAGAGGAGTCAATGTTTGCAGAAAGGGAATAGTATAGGGTGAGTAGGAGTCCCTAGGGAGCATAAATAGTTAAGCCCTCAACTACTAGCCAAAAGGTTGACAGTTTGAACCTACCCAGAGGCAGCTGGAAAGACAGCCCTGGTGATCTGCTTCTGAAAGGTCACAGCCTTGAAAACCCTATGGAGCAGTTCTGCTCTGCACACATGGGTCGCCATGAGTCAGAATCCACTGAATGGCAACTAATGACAACTACATGGGGTGAGTACCCATTATTTATGGCTTCTAACCTGAGGGCAGGCAGAAGACAGCATTGTTGAGTGGGGTAATTATATGGCCTGAAAAACAGAGAATAATGTTCAGGGCAACCATACATGTTGAAACTTGAGGTTGGAATCCTGCAAAGGAGTGAGCCAGAAAGGGGAAGCCAAAATCCAATTAAACGAAACATCAGGGGTGAGTTGTAATATAGAATTTGCCTCTATTTTTTGACTGGTAAGAGCTTTCAAGCCCCTCTCCTTTCTTCCTCACATCTGCGCCAGCTGGTAAGAAAGCCTAACTGCTCCCTTCTTTGGAACTGGGAGACATTCAAACCACACAAGCCCTGGCCCATGCACATGGAGACACTAACCCTAGTCCCACCCTCTAACCTCAATAAAGCTTCAAAGCTGGTCTCCTTTCCCGGCCCTTTTGTTTTTGGACCTGCTTGGGAGGCTGCCCTACTATCCCCAGAAAACCTTACTCCATGAGTTAAAACATTTTCATATACTGCTGATGTGTTTCTGGTGTCATCAGTCTCAACATCTGAAACAAATGTTGGGTGGAGGTTCTATTATATATTTGTAAGGTGATTACAAGACCTCTGAATATTTATAGGGCTTATTTATCATCTTCTATAGACATCTGGAGTCACCATGAGTCAGAACAGACTCAAAGACAATGGGTTTTGTTTTGTTTTGGGTGGTGTACGTGTTCTCACAAAGCATCGAGAGTTCTTGCCACTTCCTGTATATCAAGTTTGTGATGTTCTCCAGCATACCCGGTTGTCCAGGTTCTTTCAGATTATATTATGACAGAGAAGAGGAGAGTTAACGTATTGTCTTAGGGCAAGGCCTCGATTATATATCAACCCACGTAAATGCTAACTACTCATCCTTCTTCCTGATGGATAGAGAAAAATGTGTTCATCAGATCAATAACCACATACGCTGTACCCAAGCCTAGTAAAGGTACCACATCTGGCACAGCAGCTACAATTAGAGCTGATATGTAGTTATGGGACTGTTACATAGTTCAGGTTATGGTATTCTACTATCCTCTGTCATGATCCAGGGACCAGGCAGGTGAATTAAATAAAATTGGGAAAACCACTCCTAGATTTTTTAAGTCTTTGAAGGTAACATAAATCTCTGCCATGACTTTAAAAAACCAGCTGCCATCAAGTCGATTC